GTTGTTTAATTGACAACTTCGAAAAAAAAAAAATGATAGAGCACACACATATATATACACATATATACACATACACACACATATATATATATATACACATATATATACACATAACAAACACACACAGGGAAAAGCAGCAGTGCAGGTCACCTGCTGGAGGTGTGAGGTTAGTGCCACCAACCATCAGTGGGTCATACTGGCCTTTAACACAATACTCTCTGTGAATTCCATAAAAAAAAGCTGTGCATATCTGAAAGTGTCTGTGGAGGCGATTAGGAAAGGTTCTTGCATGGCGCACATCGCATGGCAACAAGGCGGCTTAACTACTGGTTGCTAAGGACAGAATCAGGCGAGCCCCCCTGAAGAGATTCCGTGCCAAAAAAAAAGAAAAGGAATTCCCCCCGTGGCAGTGCTAGAAAATGCCACTGCTGGGTTACCATGGTGACCACATGGAGTCAATGAAGGAGAGAATGGGGCCACATGTGTCTTTTAAGGGTGGCAGATTGTCAGATTGGAGATGTTGTGGAGGAGAACGCTGTGAAACACAGAGTCTGGATTAACCCACAGTATTCCCAGACAGTATTGTAGCTGGCAGTCTCATTGTGACAAATGGTGCTGTTTTGCCCCAAACCGACTTAATTAATTTTATATTAGTGACAAATGTATAGAGCAGATGGAAGAAAAACCTTTTTAATGTATAATCAATATGCTTTAAGATAACATAAAATAATGCTACAGAGCTGTTCAGTATATTAAAAGGTAGTAAAAATAGATTGATGCCTATTTTTCACCTTAGGTACACCACATTGGCCGTTCTAAATGTTTGCAAATGATTTGTAACAGCATTAGGATTGTTATGTTCAACTGTATAATTATTTAAGTCAGCCATGACATTGGCTGCTTCCCAATACGCATACTATAATATGCACTACAAGTATGGACTTGATGAAAGTCTATACTTTGGAGTAAGTTAGAGCATTCTACTACATCATAAAATTGTGGTGAATTCACAAACATCCTTCACACATATCGTTTCATATGCTTTCATTAGCATATTGCTAAATTAATTATTTATTCAGAGCAGCACCAAGACAGGTATGAAGTCGGCTGTGAGGGATAGGCTTACCATGTTTTCAATGGCATCTGCTGAAAAAGTTGTATAAAGCTCCTATAAGATCACTTATCATTTGCCACAGCTCATGTTGTCTGGAGTTTTTTTTTTTTGTCTTCTAAATTTCTTGGAAAGATATTTTTGATTTTAATTTTTATTGTATGATTGTATTATTAGTTTTTGTTTTTTTTAAATATTTTAAATAATTATTTTAAAATATGTATTTTATTTGAATTAATTTTAGTACTTCAACTTAGTTGAAATTGCCAAGGCAACATTTTTAATTTTTGTTTAGTTTACATTTTTCATCTAATATTTATATTTATATTTAATTTTAACTGTATTTCAATTAACAAAAAGTTTTTTTTTTTTAAGAGTTTTTAAAGTTTTAAAACTTCAACCTTGGATTTCTCACCACTTTAGTACAGCTAAAAAGTTTATATTTAGTCAGAATGGATGCCTAATTTCGTTTAACACTATAAGGTCATCTACCTTTAAGTGAAAGCAATACAACAGACTGCATATATATCTCAAAAACGTTCAAAAAAATCACACCTATTCTAATCTCACATACTATTTTATGCCAATTGAAATGCAGTGACTGATACGTCTGCCCTATGAGCAAACTAAAGATGGAAAGAGAGTCTTTACTGACCTCTAGTGGCCGTGAGGTGAAAGCAAACCATTGCTCACATTATACAGTTCTGTTCTTTACAGATGTTGAACCCATATTTCTATATTGATGCAACAATACACTAAGGCATTTCTTCATTATCCCCAGTCATTCCCTTCTGCTGAATAAATAGAAATTCTATTAACTTTTCTTCATTATGGCTGTGCTTTTGACTATTACCACTGTTTGAAACCATAAACAGACCAACAAGAAGGCTCATTTCCAAACAAGGACATATTCAAGCCATTACATGATTTAATGGCAAACATCCCACCACACTACTGTCAAACTGGATCATTAAACAAAGAGGGAACAATCTACAGGCAACCGAGTCCCTGATGTTGTTTATGGATGGAGCTGGTTTTTGGTAAATTGCTCTTTGGCTGTCTTGCAGCATAAATACGTACAAGCTACACAATGTGGTGAAGACCTGATTCAACCTAGTTTAGGAACAATAGGTAGTAAAAATGTTGCTCTCCTTGTCCTACAATAGGAGAAGGGTCAGTACAGATGATGATTTTGGATGGTGAGGCTGAGATCTATCTGGGGAATGCATGCAGTTATAAATAACAGCTGCTCAACGCCAAGCAGAACATTCTTGTGGATTGAATAAAAAAAAAAAAAGGGGGGTAAAAACAGCTGGATGCAAATAAACAGTTCCCTTTTAAACTCGGAAATTAGGTTTTTAGATTTTTTACATTTGAAAAGTTACAGTATGATATAAAAGTAATGATATTTAAATGAATAGTTCACCACACACACCTTCAGGCCGTCCAAGATGTAGATGAGTTTGTTTCTTTATCAGAACAGATTTGTTATATAGTTTTGTTCTTCACAGATGTTTTTTACAACCCATATTTCTATACTGATGCAACAATACACTAAGGCATGAGTTCATTATCCCCAGTCATTCCCTTCTGCTGAATAAATAGAAATTCTATTAACTTTTCTTCATTATGGCTGTGCTTTTGACTATTACCACTGTTTGAAACCATAAACAGACCAACAAGAAGGCTCATTTCCAAACAAGGACATATTCAAGCCATTACATGATTTAATGGCAAACATCCCACCACACTACTGTCAAACTGGATCATTAAACAAAGAGGGAACAATCTACAGGCAACCGAGTCTCTGATGTTGTTTTTGGATGGAGCTGGTTTTTGGTTAATTGCTCTTTGGCTGTCTTGCAGCATAAATACCTACAAGCTACACAATGTGGTGAAGACCTGATTCAACCTAGTTTAGGAACAATAGGTAGTAAAAATGTTGCTCTCCTTGTCCTACAATAGGAGAAGGGTCAGTACAGATGATGATTTTGGATGGTGAGGCTGAGATCTATCTGGGGAATGCATGCAGTTATAAATAACAGCTGCTCAACGCCAAGCAGAACATTCTTGTGGATTGAATAAAAAAAAAAAAAAGGTGGGTAAAAACAGCTGGATGCAAATAAACAGTTCCCTTTTAAACTCGGAAATTAGGTTTTTAGATTTTTTACATTTGAAAAGTTACAGTATGATATAAAAGTAATGATATTTAAATGAATAGTTCACCACACACACCTTCAGGCCGTCCAAGATGTAGATGAGTTTGTTTCTTTATCAGAACAGATTTGAAGAAATTCAGTATTACATCACTTGTTCACCAGTGGATCCTCTGCAGTGAATGGGTGCCGTCAGAATGAGAGACCAAACAGCTGATAAAAACATCACTATAATCCACAAGTAATGCACACGAATGGACATTTTAACTTTGAAACGTTTCTTCCAGCTAAAACATGAGTCCTCTATCCATAGCTTTCTCCACTGAAAAAGTCATCTTGTCTGAATCAGGAGAGAAATATGCACAGATCAAGCACAAGCAAAAACAGTCCTAAACAGTTCTAAACAAATATGTCATTGTATTTTGATGTAAAAGGACAACAGTGACTTTTTCACTGAAGGAACTTACAAGACATTACTGATGGACTGGAGTCTGTGGAATATTTATGGGTTACTGTGATGTTTTTATCAGCAGTTTGGACTCTCATTCTGACGGTACCCATTCACTGCAGAGGATACGTTGGTGAGCAAGTGATGTAATGCTACATTTCTCCAAATCTGTTCTGATGAAAAAATAAACTCATCAAAATCTTGGACGGCCTGAGGGTGAGGACATTTCAGCCAATTTTTATTTTTAGGTGACATATTTCTTTAACATCAGCTTTAACAAAATGTTATTTTAAACACTTTAAAATGCCTCTGGCGCCTCCAAGAAACAACATTCTTGTGGATTGAATAAAAAAAAGAAAAGGGGGGTAAAAACAGCTGGATGCAAATAAACAGTTCCCTTTTAAACTCGGAAATTAGGTTTTTAGATTTTTTACATTTGAAAAGTTACAGTATGATATAAAAGTAATGATATTTAAATGAATAGTTCACCACACACACCTTCAGGCCGTCCAAGATGTAGATGAGTTTGTTTCTTTATCAGAACAGATTTGGAGAAATTCAGTATTACATCACTTGTTCACCAGTGGATCCTCTGCAGTGAATGGGTGCCGTCAGAATGAGAGACCAAACAGCTGATAAAAACATCACTATAATCCACAAGTAATGCACACGAATGGACATTTTAACTTTGAAACGTTTCTTCCAGCTAAAACATGAGTCCTCTATCCATAGCTTTCTCCACTGAAAAAGTCATCTTGTCTGAATCAGGAGAGAAATATGCACAGAACAAACACTGTTTATAAGCGAAAATTCCAGAACAGTTCTAAACATATGGATTTTGATGTGAAAGGACAACAGGGGATGGACTTTTTCACTGAAGGAAACATTATTATAGATTATGGACTGGTATTTTGGCAAGAAGCAACAGTTTAAAAACTTCTTAATGATGGATTTGTTTCTTACACAGCTTTTCACTTCACAATGTTTTATCCGCTGTTTGGACTCTCATTCTGACGGCACCCATTCACTGCCAAGGATCCATTGTTGAGCAAGCGATGTAACGCTAAATTTCTCCAAATCTGTTTTGATGAAGAAATAAACTCATCTGTACATTTTGGATGGCTGGAAGGTAAGTAAATTTTCAGCCAATTTTCATTTTCGGGTGAATGGTTCCTTTAAGATTCGGTCACTAATCTAATAAGCAAATTTGTGGCAAAGTGAGGTATTCCTTCAAAGACAATTTGACATAATTTAAATATGTTTTGAAAAATATGTTATTAAATTGGGGGGGAAAAGCAAAAAAAAATGTGTGGTCTCAGGCCTTTGGATCCCAGTGCACATGTTCATACAGTTTTAATCTAAGGAAACATTTGGTTGTTTGTGAATCATTATTTATTTGTACATTTACAACAATCATGTTTCATCCAGGAATCAAGAGTAAATTGTGTAAAAAAAAAAAAAAAAAAAGTCACAATCTGCATGGCAGTACAACTTTTTTTTCCGCATAATATAATACAGCTTTTCTCTTTATCTAAATATATCTATATCTATATATAAATCTTCTCGTGCTGTGCAGTAGAACACACCTGTTGTCAAATCAAACGCAGACACTTTTAAGGCAACAATTGTTCAAACTTCACAGTTTCTCAGTTGTCAATATGTTTATGTTTGTCTTCACATATTCATATATACGTAACATCGCTGCATAGGTCGAGGCATATAAACTGAGACTCCACACGTCACAATTCACTACTGTCCTTATATACAGATCTGTGGCATCTACTGGCAAATGCCTTGAAGAAAAGTGCAGTGTGTTAGTTGTTTGCTTGTTTTTCTTCTTTTAATTAAGAAAACACGAGTCAACATCTTCATTTCACACTCTATTAACTAAGATACGAATAACAAAAGGAAAAGCATTAAGACAAAAGAGTTTCAAATATAGGAAACATTAAGCAGCCATAAGCTGAAAAACCATTAAATAAAGCAAAATCACACCGTATGCTGTTTTAACATTGGGAGGAACTAAATTCTTAATCAGAACCTACTAAAATTACAACTAAATGTATAATTACAATTTAGAAAAAAAATGGCAGTATGGACATTTACTGAACTGAAGGCAGATTTATTTGAACAATTGTCTACTATTTGTTCTCTAAAATGTGGTTTTAGATACTTTGGTTAGATTGTTACCTCCAGAAATTCATTTATTCAGTCACATTAGCGTAACATCTAAATGAGAATTGATTGACAAGTGCATTTAAATATGCTTATTAATCGCATTTAAATATTAAAAGATCTAAATATCAATAAAGCCTTGCATTCTGCATTGTTTTTGGATACTCACAACATCTACATTAATTTTAGACACATTTTGAGGCATCAGAGATCTGTATCGTGAAAAAGAAATAAAATCAAATGTCAATACTGCGAATTATGGGAGTTTAAAAAAAATATTGTGTGCAATTATTGAGAGTGCAAAACACTGCAACAACAAAGTCATATATGTGCCGTAATGTGCTTTACAATTTGTCAATTATGTACATGATACTGTTTTATTTAAAAGCAAACCTACAATGAGGCCTAAGTCTTTACAAGGACTTAGTCAGTACAAGTCTTTTCAGTACCGATTCGTTCAGGCATTTATGACTGCCTGAGAGTTGGAATAAAAATGTACTGAGCAGCTGATCTAGAATTGACAACATTATAGAGAGCAGCCACACGGACTAAGTGAAAGAACTTTTGCAATTTATACATTCAACCACTAGGGGTGCTATAGCTGCAAATGAGTGGGCATTTCTCCATAAATCTGTGCTGAGAATGAGATCAACTGCATCACATCTCTAAACAAGTTTCATATATAAAGTCTGTGCTTCCAAGTGCCCTGTCTCTTCAGAAAGCTCACTAGGTAAACCATCCTTAGAATACTGAGCAGAGGTATACTGGTTAAAAATATTCACATCACAGTCTGTGAAGAACACACACTCCTTTCCTGACATCACAAACATGTGCTCACACACATCAGCAGTTGCATGAGGAAGCAATGGTGTCACTTCAGTCCACAAGGAGAGCAGGACAAAGGCCAAAGGGCTCCTTAGAAAAAGAAATCACTGTCGGAAAGATAAAAAGGAAGGTCAGTGCATGTAACATTCCTCTCTTGTGTATTCCATTAGCAGGGGGTAAAGAACAAACCAAAACAAGTTAAGAATGTACAGAAAAGTAGTAATCAATAAAAGCAAACAGAAGGTATCACTCACAATTCTTGGAAAATCAGAGGCAAAGGTCACTCCTTTACTGGCCTTTTCCTGTGACCCACTGCTGCTGCCGCTCACTGAGTTCTTGCACATGATACCTGAAAGTGTGTTTGTGGAAATAACATTAACACATATATATGAGTTACTGCCATTTAAGCAGAAATCTATAACCGATGAATGGCCGTTATTATAAATCTACATTACTTTGTTGTAAAAAGGTACATTACAAAGTAACATTAATAAAAGTTGCACACAGATCATTAAATGCACACAGCAACTCTTAAACACTGAGTGTTCTTAAAGGGCCATACATAATATATATTGCTATCCCTTTAAGTGAAATCAATCTTAAAATAGGTAGAAATAATAAAAAAAAAATGTCGGCCAATAAATAGTCTAATATTTGCTGATGCTAATACCATTGCAAAAAAATTTAAAAATATAATTTATAATCACATAACTAATACGGCACCGATAATATTTATTCAAATGAAACTTTAAATGCAGATGACATTCTCAAGACCTCTTATGTTTCAACCTCGTCAATAACTAGACTTAATTTCGACATGTATCACCCAGTTCCCTTTCATGGGAACTTCGAACTGCGTCCTCTAGGGGTGATCCAATCAATTCCAAATAGATACAATTAAGTTCCTACCTAGACATATTTTTTCTTGTTTTATCCCGTTTCAGTACAACATAGGTTGTGAACGCATTTCCAAGTTGAAATATTTTTTTAAGCAGTAAAATCTTTGTAACCTCACCTATGGTACCTGTAGGGGGCAGTAAGTCCAGTCTCTGCAGGCTATTTCGGCGAGAGCTTGGGTGCCCTCCACTTTTAGACAGACGACGTTGGCGGCTGGACAACATGGCCGCTGGGGGCACGATTCCCGGAGGGGATAATGTTCTTTTTAGCAGCATCATATGACCCCTTTAAAACTTCAGGTGGCACTTAATCAGTAAATAATGAGAACACACTTAGATAATACACAATTGATTAATCAGTCCAGGAATATAATTATTATTGTTTTACTAATTTAGATTTAGGTTAATGATAACCTAGTAGATCTCATTCAGCAATATATCATAGTATATAGCTAGTCTGTGAAAGTGCTATTCTGATTTTTCTTTTGTATTTTTTTTTGCACCGTCATCAGATCTTTCCACACTGAAGACAGCGTAATTGAAAACTTTTCACAGCACTGAACATGTTCGGACATGTTAGGTCAAAAAACGTTTAGGATTAAATCTATAATGGACACTGATGGTTTGGGTCTAAACTATAAGAGTTACAGTAGCTGCTTAACAGGTTTGACTTTATGCTGGCACACTGCTAGAATTTGATAAAGCACTTTATAGAATGTACAGGGATTTGCAGGAATGTACCACAAGCAACCCACAAAACATACTACAGGCTCACCTCTCTCTGAGTTCCTGTAGCTCCTCATACATTCCCTCGTCTTCACTCTCTGTCTCGTCGCTGCTAGCGTATGAGGTACTGCGTGTGTAACTCATCCACGACTGATTTAGATTGAACTGAGGACTCCCGGCTGAACTTTCCAGCAAACTTACACTTATTCTCCTCCTCCTCCTTTCTGTCTCCTCCTCCACCTCCTCCTCCCCTTCTTCACCTCCACGTCCCTTGTCTGGTTCTACTTCTCTGTCCAGTGTTTTAGTTCCTCCAGTCCACAAGGGGGCGCTGTCTGAGTGGCACAAAGCCACACTAAGTGGTTTGATAAGTGGTGGGGACTCATTCAGAGAGCTGTGACTGCTTTCTGATTCCGCCTGTATGTCTGTGCTGCTGTCTGATTGGCTGTTGTGTGCAGGGGGCGTGGCTTGAGGATCTGTTATAGGGCATGTTTGGGTCAGTATGGATGTGGGTGTAGCTGTAGGGGTGGGAGTTGGCGTTAGGCTGGGAGTTGGAGTGGGGATTTCCTTGCTTTGACTGACTTTGAACCGTCCCACTGTGACAATAGACTTTTTCTCTGTGGACAAGGAGACAAGGGATTTTTTTTCCTATCACAATGTGGACAGTGAACATAACAGCAAAACAATAAAAAAAAAAACAGGTTTTTACATTCTCTAAACAAAATGTGAGTGGTAAAACTAACTGAAAAACTAACTGTACAATGTGCTTATTATGCAATGAGCTCTTACAGTCAATAGATGGCAGCTGTGTATTTTCATTTTAGCCCTTGGCTAGACAAATTGACATTATAGGCACTGAGTTTGAGTTGGCCACTACATAGAAATAAACCTGAGCAGAATATTGCAACAAAATCAACATTATGACTTTTACAATTATCATTCTATCACAACCAGATGATAATCTGCTGGTGGAACAGGGCATGTTTATTTTCAGCAAGACAGCAAAAATACTGTTTACCTTTAGATTACACTATCATTCGAAGTTGCGGGTCTTTTTTTTTTAAATTTTTTTGAAATAAGTCTCTTATGCTTATCAAGGCTGCATGTATTTGATCAAAAATACAATAAAAACAGTGCTATTTTGAAATATTGTTACATCTTAAACTGTTTTCTATTTGAATATATTTTAAAATGTAATTCATTCCTGTGATGGCAAAGCTGAATTTTCAGCAGCCATTACTCCAGTCTTCATTGTGTCACATGATTCTTCAGAAATCTTTCTAATGTATTGATTTGGTGCTCAGGTAACATTTTTGTTTTAACAATGTTGAAAAGCTGTGATACATTTTTTGCAGGATTCTTTGGTAAACAGAAAGCTCAAAAGAATAGCATTTGTGTTTGTGTCTGCACATGAAATAATGGACGTGCATGTGCATGTAAATATTTTTATTCTTGCCTGGTTGTATGGCCTTCATGTACTTATGTGTCTTTGTGTACAAGGAATATAGGGTGTGTACTATTTATGGGTGTGACAGATGGAAAGAGTGCAACTCACCTTCAGATATAGGTGAGAGTCTAGATTTGGCTGCGATGGTATTCGTTTCAGACACTGCCAGAGACATGGACAGAGTGGGGGAGGACCTTGGGATGGGTGAGGACACCTAAAATAAGTTGAAAAACAAAAGTATCAACCCCAGACGTCCTTCTACAGGTGCTTTAAGACATGTAATAACAGACAACACCTACGTCAAATACTGTACATGCTCAGAACAGGTTTGTCTAAGTATGCTCACAAAGATGTCTGAGAGCAATGCTCCACTTCATAGTATACCCTCATATTTATATTGACAGAAACACTTAAAAGAAGTTCTTGTGGTGATGCATGCCTTTGTTTATATAGTACATATCATTAGAAGAACAAGTTTGGCCTTAGAAGTTTTTAAAGTGACAGTAAAGTGACAGACACCCCAAAAATGAAACTTTTGTCATTGTTTAATCACCCTCGTGTCATTCCGAACTTGAAAGACTTACTTTATTGAGTGGAACACAAATGGAGAAATGTTTATAAAATACTCAAAAAATAGCCTAAACTTACATATTCCAACTGTAATGCGATTTTGTGAGAAATTTTGAAATCAAAATTGTTATTCATTGATTTAAACTTTTAAAAAATCGATGACACATCGTAATAAGTCTAATAATAATAAGTAATAAGTTTGTATATTCGTGAGCAGCCAAAAGATTATGTTGTGTTTCATGGAAGAAAAAAAAAACTTATACGGGTTCGCCATGTTCGAAATGAGTGTAAATAACAATTTCCCCAGAATTTCCATTTTTCCCTGAATTACCACTTTTAGTTAAAAGTTGTTTTGTGTGTGTTGTATTTCGAACACTTACAGTGTTTTGCGGGCTGGGGGATGTGGAGGATGCTGGTGAGCTTGTGCTGGATGGGGTGCAGGAGCTTGATGCTGAACTGTCTGCCCGCTCTCTGAGCTGCCCAATGAGGTTAGACTGGCTCCCTGCCAGTGGGCTACTTCTGGACCCTGGAGAAGAGCTTGGGTTTGTGGGGTTTGGGTTTATGGGCTGTTTAATCTCAGGGGCCGTGCCTGTTCTCTGCTCTCTAAGAGGGACTACTGGTGGAGATGCTGTTTGGCCTTGTTCTTGAGGTTCAGGAACTGGTGCCGGAATCTGCATATAAGCATCAGGATATTGGTACATATCCATATACTGGCCACTCGTTGCCCCCTGGTGGTATGGAGCATCAGCGTTGCTCATACTCGTATGCTGAGCTGGATACATAGGGCCATACCCTGGTTGAGGGGTCATTTGCGGGTGGAAACCTTGAGGGATGGATCCAGGGGGTATAAAGGACTGTGCAAAGTTCATAGCCAGAGAAAGAACATTGGCCAGCGAAATAAAGGGCTGCTGGGAATGTGGCGGCCACATGCCTGCAGCTTGCGGACCAGGTGGAGGGGCAACTGAAAGTGGCAGAGTGTTGGTTTCAGCTTGAGGCGGCATCTCGATGGACTGCTGAACCGGTGAAACAACAGAAGAGGACGAAGAGGAGGAATAGAAGTTTGGGTTGCTGGGGACACGGGTGAGTGGACTTGGGTTGAGGGGGCTCTTGAGGGAGGCGTGATCCATTTGGTAGGGGTAGGCAAAGTGGGTGTTTTGAACATAAGGTGGTTTGGGGAGCTGAGGGGGCATGGCAGACATCTGATTTGGCAGGAGATGTGGCAGAAGTTCAGGGTGGGAGTACTGCGGGTAGTTGAGCGTAGACTGATAGGTCTGGGAGGAACCTGAAGGATGCAGAAATAGGAAGAAAGAGTGAAGCACTAGCTTATCTCAATACACATTTACATAGCAGTAGTTCAAACAATCTCAGCTGCCAAGTTGTTGTAGTGTTCATCGCTAGTAGGCATTCCTACTAAACTTACAGTAGTCATGTCGTCAACAGTCACTGCCACCATTGATGCTATTGTAAGAAGTGGTGTGGCACTGTGGCTAAAACTTATGAACAGAAAGCAGTTGTGGGTTCGAGTCCTACAAAAAACAAGCCATGACCTGTCACACTTTATGCCCTAAATTCCACGTTGTTCCATAGGGATTGTCCCTCGAGTAAATGAGCTGTAAGTCACTGTGAATAAAATCATTGGATATGTGGTTACTTGCTCAAATCAGCAACTCTCGTGGAAAACTTTTGGTTGCTTTGTCACCATCTATGTGATCATTTTCAATGTTCAACTAACAATTACTTTATTAAAATAGGACTCTCTGACGTACTTTGACCTGTCAATGCTTTTCTTGACTTCTGAAAAGGCTCCATAGACATCACTGTGGCGTAAAAATAAAGCCACAAATCAGGATGTGATCTCACTCCTGAGGAGCTAACCACACTGGAGCATTTATCAAACTCCCTGTGCCAGTCCTCTACTTCCTGTGCAGACACATTGGAGCAATGATTTGTCACCATATGTATCTTTCAAGAAAATAAAAAACTGGTAATCTTGAAATAGAGCTTTTACAGGCTGTGTAATATGTGTGGTTTGTTCTCTCAGGTAATGAAAGTTCATTTTGAAGCAGCAGGTGTCAAAAGCATATCCTGAGATACGTCAACAATGACACTGGCGTCAAAGCTTGGTCTCCATGGGGATGAGTGTTTAGAAAGCCAATTGCAGAGTGGGATACACAAGATATCGAGTTTGTTGCCAGTAGCCTCACAGCTAATGGTGTGCAGAGAGAGAAATAGGCATGGAAAAGTGCTCTCGGTAACAATGACACGAGTGAAAGAAACAAGATGAAAGAGCGAGACAGAGAGAATGTTCATTATGACGCCCCGAACACTGAACGTCCACCAAGAGGTCCGGACTGTACCCATTATCTGTGTGATAGAACATGGCGCTCATTACCTGGAGAGACCAAAGATGATTGGTTCAGATAGTGGAAGCTTTTTGGTGATATGAAAATGTAAATCATCTGAATTTTCTTCGTGTTAGAAATCTAAACATTTTATGTAAATGTGATTGGTTAATACAGCGATTGACAGACTAATGTATTTTGAGACACCTGGGGTTCTGCAAAAGCAGAAAACACATTGAAAATGGACTATGAAGTTGTTTATCAACACAATATTTTAAAATACAATTTTATTGAATAACATAAAACAATGGAGCAATAATGACCCATTGTTTGAAGAAAAAGACATCTGCTGGGCTTTACATGCTATAATAGGCACAAAACCCCTTTCTATTCAGTAAATCTGACTGAATCTACATGATGTAACAAGTTTAAAGATATGGTTTTGGGTTCATTCAGTTGCAAGTAGATTAATATCATTTGGATGTAAATTTGACCCTCATCCTCACATAAATTAGATTTCAGCATGATCAAGTTTTTATGATTTATGGCCGTTCACAATACAAATTCTCAATGTGTTGTCATTTTAGGTAGAGCTGCTTAGGAATAATATGTATTGTAAAAAGCAATACATAAATTCACGGAAAAAGAAAGTGGTTTATTGTGTGTACCTGTAGTGTGGAAGGATTGTGAACGCAGGGGCCGGACGGGCGGAATGGCATCGGGATCAACGTAAAAGTCGGCGCTCAGTGTAGGTGAGGAACCCCGGGTCACTGGCCCTATACTGGCAGCAGCATAATCTGAAGGACATACACCACAGGTTCATATCATGATGTGCACTTTTATTTTTATATTGAGCAAATTACATTTTCTTTACATTACATAAAGCTTTCTGCATTTTTAGATTTTCATTAAGACATTATTTAGTCCCTTTATTAAAGGGTTAGTTCACCCAAAAATGAAAATTATGTCATTAATTACTCACCCTCATGTCGTTTCAAACCCGTATGGAGGAGGGGGCATTGAGCATTTATTTGTAATTATTATCTGCTGCAAAGACTTTACACATACTTTATATGATCAGTGTTTGTGTGCACAAGTGTTTATGTGTTCTGTGTGTGTGTGTTTGTTACCTGGCAACGAGGAGGAGGAGTGTGTGCGAGCGAGGCCCTGCGTGTAGAGATTGGGCTGTGGGGAAAAACAGAGCACACGCTGGCATTAACGTCACCGTCTAGTAAAGTGACCACGTGTGAGAATAGATAAGAAGATTGTCACACAGGCACAAATAAAGTGTACAATCACACTGTAGCAGAGGACTTTCTTATTAATGACTGTTCAACACTGATGACTAAGTTCTCTTATTACAATCACTGTAAGGAACACGCTGTGTTCGTTAATTGTTGTCTCTGACATCTGATGATGACATCAGAAGATTGGATTTCTGAACCACAACATATAAAATCCCACAGTAAACAACTGAATTCCAAACCCTCGCCAGACACACACAGAAATAAAAGCTCATTTAAATGGATAGGTAGATACAGCTTTATTGTAATTGCACAGTACAGGTACTCAGCAACGAAATGCAGTTCAGCATCTACCAGAAGTGTGGTTAAATATGTAAATATATAACTATATACAGCAAATAAATAATATAATATAAAAAAATCTAAAATTCTTATAAAATGTTGAAAAGAGTGAATACAAACCTGTGAGGCAGACAGTGAGCCGACTCCGCTCAGACAAGGCAGACGAGCAGTGTCTCTGGGACTGAGTGGTTCCAAAGGTTCTCTCCTCATCAGGGCCTCTGCCCGACGGATGATGTCCCTCATGCGGTGGATGAATCCCTCTCTCTCCCCAGGTAGAATAAACTCATTATGTACCTAAAAGGGGTGCAAAGAGACAGATCAGTTAACTGGGTTGACGTAATTTTGAGTTCCCTTTCAGTCGGTCACTACGAGTCACGTCGTGACCGACGAATTGGGATATCGCTTCGATAAGTCTCAAAGGGCGCTTACGAGGCAAGCACGTACTGGTCCACGTACATGACAACACGGCGACCGTTGCGTACATCAACCGACAGGGTGGTCTGCGCTCCCGTGCATTGGCTCGTTTAGTTTACACTCGAAGTAGATTGGTCTATCGAAGCGATATCCCAATTCGTCGGTCACGACGTGACGTCTCCGTTCCCTCCTTCAGGGAACGAGGGTTACCATACGTAACCGAGACGTTCTCTTGTGTGCTCTTTTGAGCAGACTTTCTTGATGAGTTCAAAGTTCTCCTTCAAAGCTACTGGAATTCAATATTGAGCAGTGATTCAGTGCAGTGAACAAAGACATGTACTCATAATGTAGCGAAGGGAAACACTACCGCCTATATTTAAGACTCCTAAATCCAGTCTCAAGGCCAAGGACAGGCTGATCAAAACAACTTTTAGTCAGAGCTAACACAAAGAAGCCAAAGAAAGCAGCTAACAAAAGTTATTCTCAGTATCTCTACTAAAAACACACTCACCCTAGATTCCATTTTACATACATTTTTTGAGCCTCATGTCAATACTGAAAAAAGTTGAAAACTTTTGCTATAGCATCTTAAAAACATGCTGCCAATTGTGCGACTGAAAAACACACAGAAGGGTCACATCAGTCCTACAAGTCCACATGGTGCATGTCTCCGTAGAAAAACATTATAGCAGCGACACAAAAACTAGAAATACATATTCCAGTGATTTTTAGCACTAACTGAGAATGCGATGGGTCACAAACCAGCTTTTCTCCTGTAGGCTAAAAATGTCAAAAATAGCTGACAAGTCACAATGGACACATAAGAACTGGTTTTCCACTGGTAACTGAAGATGCTACAGTACAAAATGTTTTAGATGAACAGATGAGAGAAATGGTGCATAGATTTTCCACTGTAGGTTTGAGGTTACAGAGTTTGTGCAAACACAGAAGCTGAAGCATCAACACTTCTCATGCTATAATGCAGTTCTCACAAGGAGTGTCGCCTTATCTCTGTCCTTGTGTCCTCTTTGACCTCCATAACTTTCAGTTTACAGATATTTAGTGGAGTATAGTGGAGACTGGGGGCAATTGTAACGTTTAACTTCTTCCTTCAAAACAGACTATTTGGAAATTGTATAATTATTTACAGATTTTTTTTATTATTATTTACAATTACTCTTTATATAATTATTTTATTTGATATTTTATTGTATATTTATTTTATTTTTTCTATTTATTTTCTATTCTATTTTAATGTCATGTAATTTTAGACTTTTTATTTCATTACATTTCATATTTTTTACATATTTATATTTAATTTTGTATATTTTCATTTCATTTTATTTTAGATATTTTTATTTAATTAAATATTTTATTTCATTAAAAAAAAAAATCTTTTCTTTTTTTTTTTGAGAGTGTTGCTAGCTCACCATTACTGCAGCAATGTCATCTGGGTTGTCTCCATCCAGATCGAATTTAAATGTCACCATCTTGCTGTTATGGGTCTGTAGTTGACACTCTACAACCCGGTCCACTTTATCTGACAGCTGCATGAAGAAAGACACAGGTAGGGAATGATTCGAGAGCATTTATCTGTGAGTATATCACAAAAAGGCAATTGATTTTGAAAGCAGTTATCCATTTTTTGAGTTAAGACACGTTTTCCGACTCAGTATTAGCATACTATAAGGTTAGGAACCACGTATGGTCAGTTAACCAAGGCTAGCTAATTGACAGATGAGTCACCCCAGTGATGCGTAGCCGTGAGCGAGCCCTCTTCCTGAGCAGCTTGGTTCCGGTGCGTTTGTTCTGACCTTTCCCGCCTCTCTCCGAAAGACCCTCGTTTCCATCACTCAAACCAGAGGTAACATCAGAAGCGTAGCTGTTCCGAGAGGAAGGATATAAAACACATGGTGACATTCCGACTTCCTGAATTTCACAGAACTGCACTTCACAGAATGTTTCTTTTATCAGTTTACCATTAGCACATAAAGGCCAAGTAATTTACGACAGATCTTCTAAACCAGGTTGAGCTAATTGAGTAAAAAGCAACAGCGTCCTTGTGTACCCATCTGACCATATGCTACCTTTGCTTTGCCTTCATCTGGCTTCCTACAGAAATGGCCTTCATGGTAAATTGCTCCCCTGAGCTAAATCATTACCATTAATGCACTTACCACTAGGCTATGTGCAGTGTATGTGTGTGTCTCTATGAGTCACACACAAAAAGAACTGCTCTCCACCGGAGCACTACAGGCACCGTGGGTAAATGTGGCACGATGTTGGTCAGCTGGTGAGTAAGATTACAGCTCTCACAGCTGGGATCAGGTCCACATTTTCTTGACGTCAAAACAAATGCCATATCCACACGCACAGTGGGGGAGGTTTTATTTAAATAACGGTCTTGTATAGGACTGATTCTACGTTCTTAGCTTAACAGGTTAAGACCAGGCTGATGAAGTTGCAGGGCATTTAAAGTGAGCATTTTTAGACAGATATCCCATGTTCAGTGTGTAGGGAGTAGTGCACACTGTGTATGGACCCTGTTAATCAGAACTCAGCTTACCTGTCGACAGGAGAGGAAAAACCACTGGTATTTCCTGACTGGGCCCTCTCTGTGTTTTGGGACACAGCAATGCTCTGTGGGAGGCAAAGGAAAACAATTAGCAACGCAAATTGTGTCTCAAATGAGGTAAACCTTATTCAAATGAACATTTTATTTGATCATATAGACACATTATATGATCATCTTTGTAGAATCAGTCAGAAATGGTCTGAAATCACACATTTGCACGTTAACTAAATTATATATGTACACTACCATTCAAAAGATTGGGATTGATAGGATTTTTGAAAGAAGTCTCATTAATGCATAATCTCAAAGGCTGCATTTATTTGATTATAATACAGTAAAACCAGTAATATTGTAAAATATGATCACAAATTAAAATAAGATTTTTCTATTTCAATATACTTTAAACTGTAGTTCATTCCTGTGATGCAAAGCTGTATTTTCAGCATCATTACTCCAGTCTTCAGTGTCACATGATCCTTCAGAAATCATTCTAAAATGCTGATTTGGTGCTCAAAAAATGTCTAATTATCAAGGTTAAAAACAGTTATACTGCTTTTTTTGTGGAAACTGTGACAATTTTTTTCAGGATTCTTTGATGAATAGAAATGTAAAAAAAACCAGCATTTATTTGAAATAGAGATCTTTTGTAACATTATAAATGCCTTTATTGTCACTTTTGAGTCAAACTTTTAATTGTTGGTAACCTACCGACGGGAAACGGAGAGCTGGGATCGCTGCAGCTGGAGTGGGAGGGGCTTCAGTGGGTGGAGCTTCAATGGGTGTGGTTTCCACGCGAGGGGCTCCACTGGTTGGTTGTGGAGCTGTGGAGGGTTGGTTTGCCACAGGAACTCGAGCTTCTGAAGGTTCCTGAAGCCCAGAGGAGCTGAGGTATCCATCCGTCTCACAGTCAGCTGCCATGGTAACCACAGTTCAACCAAACAAGCGGAAAGTAGTTTGCTAGTATGCAGCTTACCGATATTGCTAAAGTGCATAGGGATGTCTTGCATGACCTAGCAAGGCATAAGTGGTTAGTTCCATAAACATAGTCCCTATGTTAAGACTGTGTTTGACCAGCTAGCAGTTAGGCACAGGGTAATCAATTAAATTAGTCCAATCTAACATTTTGCTACTGACTTAAAAAAAATTATGACCAACCTTAAAGAAAAAAACATTTGATGAATAACTTTTTAAGACTAGTCTAAGCAGTTTATGCAACTGGCCACAGGTTATACAACGCCTTTCATGGAGGTTGACTATTTTAAAGGAATTTCAGATAAACTAGACTGTTAGCTTTTTTCTACAGGACCTCGAGGACACTAAAGTTTTTGTAATATACACCACTGTTCAAAAGTTTCATGTCAGTAAGATTGTCAAAAAGAAGTCTCTTATACTCACCAAGGCTGCATTTATTTGATAAAAAATACTGTGAAAACCGCAATATTGTGAACTATCATTACAATTTAAATTATAATTTTTTTTATTACTATTTTAATTACATGTGATATAACATGATCCCTCAGAAATCATTCTACTATAATGGTGCTCAGGAAACATTTCTTATTATTATTAATGTTGAAAATAGCTGTGCTGCTATTAATATTTTTTGTGGAAACCATGAATTTTTTTCCCCAGGATTCTTTGATGAATTGAAATGTACAGCATTTATTTGAAATATAAATCTTTTATAATATCAATTTCTTTACTGTCACTTTTGATCAATTTAATGCATCCTTGCTGAATAAAAGTATTAATTTCTTTAAAAGAAAATCTTACTGAGCCAAAACTTTTGAATGGTTGTGTATTTGTGTAAATCTAAAATAAAATGATACATAACATGGTCACTAATTGGAGCCAGATTGTGTGTACTGGATCAAATGAAAACTAGACTAAAAAAACATGTACAAAATGGAAACGACTGACAAACATTTGACAAATAATTTTTTCTTCTTTGAATTTAAAGCATTCAAATGCTGTTTCAAATCATTCTGGCCCAATTTAAAAAGCTTGGACATATATCTAAAGACGTTATCTATTTAAAAAAAAAAAACTAATTTAGCCATCTAAATTGCCGAGTAAGTTAGTAAACATTCTGTACTTGCAAATGGTTCAGTAATGAATATATGCTGACACACTGTACAATGTAGCAACTGTTTATCCAGAAGTAAATCATGTTGGTTTTAAAGGTCGTTTGGTCATGATAAACATCTTTGAAGTTTTGGTTGGCCAGGGGAGACATGTGGTTCAATATTCCTGGAACAACATTCCAATCCTCCAGTCAAGGAAAAGTTTACAGTTATTATCACGTTTAGGCTTGCAACCAGTGTTAGGACCTTCTACACTCTTCTACATTCTTATTCACCTATGATTTCCCTCTAATTTTAGGGGTAAGTAACAGTTAGGTTAGGTTTCGGGGTTGGTATAAAGTTAGGACTATGCTTCTAGACTGGAGTGTTGATTCACAAACATGTCTTACTTGGCCAAATCACATCAACCTTAATTGCGTGTGTGTGTGTGAGACAAAGTCATGGAAAAAGACATTTAACAAGAAATTAAGATCAACAGCAGATAGGATTTCAGAAAAAATTACAACAGACTGAATGTCTGAAATTGTAACCACAAATGTAATTGTCTGGAGCACATTCTTATATATTGTGATGTATGTTTGTTTGATTATCGAAAATGGAAAAATGTGGGTGGGACTCGGTTCTACTGTATGCATTGGTTGTTGATTGGATTCTGAGATGTGGGCACTGCACTCAAAAGTGGATGATCTCGAGCTTGCAGGAGTGGGGTCTGAGTGTAAAGTTCAGTTATGGCATTGAAAAATCTGCATACGCATTGATGAATTGTTCACAAGAAGATCTATAATGTGCATTTAGAAAATAGTTAAGGCAGGGCTGTACAGTCCTGCTACTGGAGGGCCACCTTCTTGCAGAGTTCAGCTCCAACTTGCCCCAACACACCTGTCTTGTAATCCTGAAGATCTTGATTAGCTGGTTCAGGTGTGTTTACTTGTGATTGGAGCTAAACTTTGTAGGATAGTGGCCCTCCAGGAGCAGGTTTGGACACCCCTGAGAAAGGGTGAATTTCCATTTCATGCTGACTTTGACATACACAAGAGCACACAAACTTACACGTTGCTGATGAGTAGCTGGCATGACGTATGTTGAAATGCTGCCGCTGGTCTGCGTCTGGCTCCTCGGGTTCAGTGGCAAAGCTGGCGTTAAAGCCAGAGTCCAGAGATTCGTTTGCAGACAGGGAAATGGGGCCTGACACTGTGACAGTGGGCGGAGCTTGAGTAGGGGTGGATACGGGCGTCTCTACAGGAGGCTTAGGAGCAGGTGGGTTAGAAACTGAAGGTTCGGCTTCAAGACTAGGCTCGGGTTCCTCCTCAATCACCTCCTCTTGTCGCCGCCTCTGGTCCTCTTCTGCCTGTCGACGGAGCTTTTCTCGTTGGCGCTTGATGGCGGTGACACGGTCACGGATGGCTTTGGCCACCAGTTTGTAGTCTGCCTCACAGACAAATCCAAGAACAACCTGAAGGATACAGATTAGTTATCTGTTCAGTGATGGCACAGAAATTTAAAAAAAAAAAAAACAATAGAATATAATCTCCATCAAATCAAGATTTTCGATCTCACCATCTCCTGAGCCACTTCTTCTGGGACGTCCTTGTAGAGTTCAAACAGGAACTCAATGGCGTTGTTGTCCTTATATTTGCCATGGAGCTTCTTGGTGTCATCCATTCGAAGCCAGAGTTTAAGGCCAGACTTCACCATGTCATCCTCCTCAGCCAATTCGACATGGACACCATTATTCTCCTGGAAGAAGGTGTGCTCTAACAGGTCCTGGATAGTGTACCTAAACAAGATAACAAGAAAACACATAAGATCATATACTTCCTTCGGGGTTTTACAAAAGGGCATCAAGGTTTGGCTGGTTAGCATGATCTAGTTAACCCCTACTGGTACTGCAGATGTTTTAACTACACCATCTGGCTGCAAAAAAACAACAAAAAAAAAACATATTTTTCCACTAGAAGCATTTGAAAATTAGCTCTGTATTTTGACCACATTTCTTTTTTTCTTTTTTTTACAAGCGACATGCACGTGACAAATATTAATTACTATCCTAAACTAGCTATTTTAAGCTATTTTGATGAATGCTGTTTACATGAGCTATTGCTTTTAATAAATGCTAATTTCACGATTTTTAAGCTAATTTACAACCAGATTTCCTTGTTGCTAAGATTACAATGTCTTTGTGAAACACATAACAATAAAAAAGCAAAACCCTAGCATAATAAGGTCTCACATCTTATGGTAGATGGACTGTCAGGCAAGCACTTTGAGTTCTTAATGTGATTGAGAGTAAGAACATTCATCCACAAAAACTGGAGTTAATTAAATCAACACTATTAATCATCAGAATTACCTGCTGCTGGATGGAGTGAGTCATTACTAGTGGCTATTGACCAAACGCTTTACATAATCGCTGGGTGACATATTAAATGGACAATTTTACAGGTAGAAATGTGTTATGTTGAATTGATTACACGATTATGAGGATATTTTGGGTAGAACAAAAGTGGTGTGATTGAGTGATTGCAAGTGGAGAACAGGTTGGTTACTGATGGGAAACTGTTGGTTACTTTTTTAGTATAAAAGTGAAAAAAGCTAACAATTAATATACTTACATTTCTTTTAATATGTTTCAAGCATATTATTGTAAATAAAAATAAATTTCACCCAATATCTGTGCACTTCTGTGTGTATTTTTATGTTAGAGTGCCACGCTGTTAGCTTAACAACATGCTAATGCTAAACTTTATTTGGAGTCATGTGTTGTGCTATTTGTGTAGCGGCCAAAGTAGAGTGTTTCAAATTGGTCACTTATATATATATATATTAGGGCTGCCATCGTTAACGCGTTAACGCATGCAATTAATTTTACAATCCTTAATGCATTAAAATAATTTAACGCAAAATTACTGAAGCACAATTTCTATTCTAACCCTTTAACCCAATTTTGCTTCTCTGCTTGCGATCAGATCATTTTAAGCTGCTAAACTCCAGGAAAGTTTTCAGTCCAATGATCCAGTAAGCGAATGCATTCAAACAATCCGTCCAAAACAGAGTTAATATAAAGGAAACCAGACTGATTATATCAGAGATTGCGGGGAGAACAGAGACTCGTGTTGCGTTTTCAGTGAATTATTCATTCCAGTGTGTTTCGCTTTAAAACACGAGCTCTGTCATATTCTGTGATTGTCTCTGAAGAGCGCGAGCCCTCACACGCTCTGTGTGAAGTACAGACTGAACGGATTGTCAACACATCCCACCGCTGTATGGCCAGATGAGACGCAAACTACAGTTTCTCGACTGGATAACCAGTCTCGCTAGTAAAATTTTGATGGATGAAGACT